ATATATATATATATATATATATATATATATATATATACTATACTTTACTATATATAATAGTATTATATAGAACTAGAAAAATTTATTAATATATAATATTAATATATATATATTATTACAATATTATATTATATTTATATTATTATGTGTATTTTATATATTATTATATTATATTATTATATATTATATATATGAAAGTATTAACTTAAGGAAGATTTATTTTAAATTATCTCCTAGAAAAAATGTTTATCGAATTGCAGAATGTGCCTATCTACCTACTATGCTATTCTATGTCGGAGAAAGAATAAATATAGAGAAAACTAAATGAAAAATTTAATTATCAAGGATGGACACTCTCTTCTCATGGATGTGTATTGTATGTAACGTCGGCTCTTATTTTCAAGAATGGAATTTCATGAAGGAGAAACGGGTAGTACAATTTATGGAATTTCCTGCGTTATTTCCGCATATAGTTGAATATACATACATCCATACATACATACATATACATATATACATACATAGGAGTATAATTCGAGAAGAAATAAGAGAGAGATAGAGAAAGACTTATTTTACGCGTTCTTTCTCACGACTCATTCACATTTCGAGAGTTTAGATAGAAAATACCTATGATAGTTGAAAGAGAGAAGGAATTTTCTTTATATCTTTACACTTCGAGACTCTATGTTATTATCAGACAATTTACATGTATATTGTACACTAGGGGGATTTAAAACAAATTCACGTATTTCAAATAAACGGAATAATTTCTCAATGGTAGATGGTAATATTATTCGTTTTAAAATTGACCAAACAATTCTATTGGACAAATACTTGAATATAATATTGGTTGGTGCATATGAAATAAAAGATTTTTCTCAAATATGTTTAATTTGTAAATATAATCATTTGTAAATAAATTTAATATATTTAAATACGTATTTAATATATTTTGTATATTTAAATAATATAAATATAATATGAATAATATAAATAACATAAAAATAATATAAATAATAATTTATATGTAAATATATATTTAAATATGTATTATATTATTTTTTTTTATTATTTTATATATTATACTATATATATATATTTAATATATTTAAATATAATATATTAATATATAAATTAAAATAAATAAAATATGTAGTTTTATAGGTTCATTTAAAAATTCAACATTTTATATGCACCAACATCTAATATATTTAATATATAAAAAATATGAAATGTATAAAATGAATGACTTTAGATTGACTAACCTTAATGAACCAAATTCAGCGAATTCAATGATGAGATAAACTGGACCACCTGGTGAAGTGCAAGCTCCAAGCAATCGAATAACGTTAGGATGTTGAGCTTCCTTTAAAAGTTGATACTCCGATAGAAGATCCGCAAGTTCGGAAGCACAGGCATCTTCTTTTAGTGTTTTTACAGCTACGGTGGTTGGTCCAGGCCAGCCACCAATATCAATAGCCTTGGCTCGTAAAACTCGTCCAAATTCGCCCTCTCCTAGGACTTGCTCGATCGTTAATCGAGTACGTGGAAATTCCCATTTTGGATCCGGCTGAACAAGCAAAATTACGTCATTTGGTGCTGTCACCATTGAATGTACTTCAACTCGATTTAATACTTTTCTTACAATTCATCGACAAAATTATATCATTATTAAATTGATTAGAAATTTCTTTGATAATTTTTAATTAAACAATCGACAGATAAATGAACGCTTTGTTTTTTTATTTTCTTTTTAATTATAAAAATCCCTTTTTCATCGTAACATCATTACTATGATGTAAATGATCATTCATATTATTAAAAATTAATTCACGCGTGTCTGATATTCTGATATTGATTAAATAGTAACTCGTTATTTACTAATTAACAACTATCTGTTAATTGCAAATATAAATTATGGTACAACAAAAAAATACTGATAATGATAAAAATTTAAGTAAAAGAATTGCATAATAAAAATAAGATTACAGTAGAGATTTAATTCGATATGCTTGAATGGTTAACACTAACCAACCAACCAACCAACCAACCACAACCACCACCCGTTGACGTAAATCGCCCACGCGAATCGCTTTCTTGCGATATGGTATTCGAACACGTGATCTTTTTATCAAGTAATAAATATATAGCGTGAATCGATTATTATTAAATATCGTTTTAATCTAAGCACATTGTTATAAGTTACAATAGAATCTATGTTAATGTATTTTTGTTATGTATTATTTTATGTATTTTTGTTATGTATTTTTGTTGTTGTGTGTGTATGTATTTATTATATGACGATAACAAATTTTTGTATTCGACAACGAATTTAATTCCTTTATCAATTTTTTTTTATTAAATATCGTCTTAATCCAAACACATTGTTATAAGTTACAGTAGAATCTATGTTAATGTATTTTTCTTATGTATTATTTTATGTATTTTTGTTATGTATTATTTTATGTATTTTTGTAATGTATTTTTGTTGTTGTGTGTGTATTTATTTATTTATTTATTTTTTTTTATTTAGAATAATGATTCCCTTTCGGGATACATGAGCTGCGTCGACCCGTTTTAATATAATACATCTTTACCAATATACATTTTTACAGATACACCTATACACAAGTACACCTTTATTAATTTCTTCTTACTACCACATCCTCTGTATGTGTATTTATTTATTGTATGACGATAACAAATTTTTGTATTCGACAACGAATGTAATTCCTTTATCAATTTTTTCTTTTTTTTTTTAATTTCTTACGTTTTATATTCGTTACGATTGTTACGAAATGATTAAAAATGCGATTAAAACGAATATCTTGTTAGTACGATGATTTATGAAATAATAAAAAAAAACAAACAAACAAAAAGGAAAACAAGAGTTTCAATGTTTTTTTTTTTCTGACAATAATCGGGACAAGTAGGGGGAAAAAAAGGTTGAAATCGATGATTCATGAATTGCAAATAACATTTTTACGTATGTATTACACATTTCTAAACGATGTAAATCTCGATTTACGTCCACTTTGCGATTGAACTTAGGATAATTAATGTTATTCTAATGTTTAAATAATCATAATAAAAAATTTGGTGCAAACCAAAATGACCTTCTTGCCAACCCAATCAATAGTTTGTTTATATTAGATATATCGATTATTTTACATTAATTATATCATATCTGTATTTCGACAATCCCCTATCACGTATAAGAGTGCAAATAATAGAACTAATTAAAACTTAGTTAATTGCACGTAGCTGACGTTAATTTGCCGTAACACTTAATCCATGTCACGTGGTATTTAGAGCGTAAGTTACAGTGCTACAATAATTTAAAGTCCTATTTTAATTTCTTATCGAAAGTCTAAGGAAGAAACTATTATAATTATTATTATCATTATTATTATTTCTATTTCTAAGCACGTTTAAGAAATGTCTTATCAACTTTAATCCAATAGCGTGAAGCGAGACCAACCAACGAGATTTTTATCTTTTTAACGGAACTAATTTATTCGAATTAAATCAAATAAATGATATCGAAATGAAATGAAATTATTTGTAAATTCCATTGGATTATATATATATATATATATATATATATATATATATATA